CAAGGTCATTTTTATTGTGACCCTTTTATGTGACCCTAGAGTCCTCATCAGCTGAGTACTTCCTCCTGTGGCAGGACCCCATACACCATAGCAGTCATCACATTAATGTAATAATTAATCTGCTTCCTCAGGCCAGACTTTGAATTCAAGTCTATTAAAGTGTTACCATGCACCGGCCACTGTCCTAAGCCCTGGGGATATGAGATACTATTATAATTTTTTAAGAAAGAAAGGATGAGAAACTGAACTATAAGCAGAGGCAGTAACAATAGAGGAAAGGGGCCAACTTGAGAGGTGTCAAAATTTAGAACCCAGTTACTGACTTGATATATGGTCTGAACAAAAAGATATAGTGATATACCTCGTCTGAAAAAAATGGTATGGTAATACCATTCTCTGACATTAGAAAGCAGTTTGGTGAGGTAGAGGGTGTTTGGAAACTTTTAATTAATTTGCATTGTCTTTGGGGCAAGATAGAGCGTTTTCCTATCTATTGCCTATTTAGTTGGAGCTCAGAGGAAAGACTAGAGCAACAAAGCAGCTTTGGGAATCAGCAGTACATTAATAGTAATTGAGGTTTGGGATATGGATGTACGGTTATTCCCCTTTCCCAGATGAAGAAATTGGGACTCAGAAATGTTAAGTAACTTGTCAAATGTCAGAGGATTCTAACTCTGATTTTTTTCACATTTCATTCTTGTGACTTTGCCCTTAAAACTCTTCATCCTCTCCAAGGGTCATAGATTTGGCTTAAACATTGTAAAAACAATTTTGTAATGTTTTCTTTGTGTTGTAGTTTTGTTGCCCTTTATTCATGTTTATCATCTTTCTCTGAGATCATTCTCTGGTCATTTCAGCCAGAAGTTTCCTTCTGAAAGTGGAAATCTTTTATTCATACTTAACCTTATATTGAATGGAATAAGAACAACCTTCAGCTCTGCTACTCTGCTGTAGCTTTCTTAAGGGCAAGGATTCCAGTCTTTCTTCCAGGGACACCAATACCTGCCCCAGCCCAGTTTATGGGAGAAGGTAGGACAGGTCCATTCATGCCTCCTTAGGTGGTCAGGGAATATGAGTCTGATGGCCACTGTTAAGACATCCACTTTCTGGCCAGGGCTATAGAGGCTGCTGATGGTGCTGGGAGTTGGGGTAGGAGTGCAGGTTGACACAACAGGAGGCAGGAAAGAACTCTAGTAATGTCTTAGAATGGCGAGTTTATTGGAGAGGCCTCTTAAAACAGGTCTGTAGGAGAAACTTCGTTTAATCTATGTGTGAGGGAGTGTGTAGACAAGAAATGGTTTAGAGGGGCTTGCATTTCTTAGCAGCTGCTCACAGATCTCAGCTTGCCTCTCAGTATCCCTCTTGGGACGTTCCAAGGGTTTCAGAGAATTCCATGTTATCTTTCCATCAATGACAAATAGATATTACTATGAAGTGCAAATTATTGGACATTCCAGAAAGACCAAAGGGGCTACAGTCCCTCTTCAGTGCTGAGCAGCTTATCCAGTAAAGACCTCATGTGTGGCATTAAATTCTAGATCTAGATCCCTGGCCACTTTTCATGACTATTTAATGGAACAGAACACTTTTCAAAAGTCTTATTAAAAGTGTTATGTTATTGTTGTTGGCAATCAAATTGAGTGGTTCTGGTGCTTTCTGAAATGCAGGGGGAATAATGAAGAAATGTGGAATGATGACAGACACCAAGGGCTGGGGTGGGTAGGCTAATTGATGCTGTCTTTGTCTGGGGAGAGGACAAGAGTGGGGAAGACACCAGGCCGATCCCGGGAGAGTATACAGCTGAGTTCAACACCATACAATATTCATGAAACATATAAAAATATACATATATAGGGGTGCCTGGGTGGCTCAGTTGGTTAAGTGTCCAACTCTTGGTTTCAGCTCAGGTCATGATCTCATGGTTCGTGAGTTCGAGCTCCCTGCTCCAACAGTGCAGAACCTGCTTGGGTTTCTCTCTCTCTCTCTCTCCGCCCCCCTCCCCTGCTCACTCTCTCTCTCAAACAAATAAAAAACTTAAAAACATGTACATATATACACATATATATGTGTATATGTATTCAGGAAGGCAAGGCTGGTGGAAAGGAGGAACATGGGGAAGGATTGCAGGTGTAGGTGGTATAGAAATGAGACATAACAGTACGGCTGGGTACAAGCTGCTGGCAGTACTTGACAGGATTGGATGTGTTTAGAAAAATCTTGTGTTTGTGGTTCTTTCCCAGCAGTGTCAACACTCAGCCAACCTCTGTTAATCACACTAAGACAAGCAGATTAAAGCCCAGATTTACTTACTTACTTCCCCCCAAAGCCCTCGAACTTTGGGTTAGCTTCCTGGTTCTAGGCTCTTTTGAGGGCAAAACAAATTGGCTTTGCTCTCTTTTCATGTCCTGGTCAGGAACATGTCAGCTTCTGTCCCAGGTACTCAGACCTCCATTTACATGCTTCCCCTTCCTGATTCTCTCCCTGCCAGCCTTTAGAAGTGAGGGACAAGCCCCTCTTCATGTCCTACTGTGATCTTCATTCCAGGAATCACTCATTCCTTACAACTAGCAGGCAGTGGAGGCGGGATATAGGTAAGAGAGCTACAGCAGCTTCTGAGGTGAGTTCTCCAGAAAGATCTTATTAATAACTAACAGGGAGGGGCGCCTGGGTGG